CAGACACAATGCTGTCATTAGCGCAACAGAGGGTCACTCAACGAGTGCTGCACTCAATCCGATTCAATACAATGCAATGCATTCACTCATCGCATGGCCTCAGAGCCAATCAAATGCGTCAAACGCTGGACACGAGAAACGCTTTCCATCACAGACTCAGTCGACTCGAGACTAGTCTCCGAAGAATCGGCAAAATCACTGTCTCTGATGTCAACCAATGTCTGCAGGAACTCACCAGAAGTATGGCCACATATATGACACTTAATGACACGCCTTATAACCATTGTTTTGCCCACAAGTAGACCGAAGAGTACGTCCGACGACTTCGCAGAGTCTTCTTCTGATCCGAAGCTGCGGTTCTCTCGTGACGGATGAGAGCCAACAGACGCGCAAAGATTTGTGTCAAACTATGTTTGAGACACTGTCGCAGACATCGGAGTTAGATATCTCTCATTACAACCAATTGCTGAGAGTTTACGTCGAGAATGGGTTTGATTTCGATGCCATCGACTTCTTGGAGAAGATGCAGTCCAAAGGCGTGGATCCAAATCGGGTGACGTTTATACTTATGATTCAACGCTTCTGTCAATTGGGAAACATATCGGAAGCCATCAGACTCTTAGAGCACATGAGGAACAAAGAGATGCCAATCAGTGAATCGGTTTTCAATTCACTGATTGTCGGCTATGGAAAAGCCGGTGATCTGCAGACCGCACACCAGACCATCGATATGATGAAGAGCTCAGGCGTCGAGCCATCGGTCGACACATACACCTCTCTCCTCTGTGCCTATGCTTTCAATATTCAAAGTCCAGAATCTGAAGCAAAGATTAATGAAATCATAGCCGAAGCTAAAGCCAAAGAAATTGAATTTTCAGAAAAGGATTTCTTTAAAGTTATTAAAACCATAGCTTTGGTTGACTCCGATTCCAAACTATTGGACCAAATTCTGAACAAAATCGACAAAACAATTCAATACAATAAGGAGTGTCTGAATGTTGTCAACGATTTATTGTTTGAAAACCGCGTGGATGTCGCGCTCAGACTCTACGAGACTATGGAAGCGCCCGAACAGCAGCTCAAACAGAGAACAGTCGGCAATCCAGTGATCAGAGGTATGATCAACGCTAACATTTCGCCCAAAACTGTAATAGAGTTTTGCGAGAGACTGGAGGCGAACGGCAAGAATGAGTTTGCCATCAAAAATGCCACTGAATTGGCGTTAAGTCACGCGAATGCTTCCGACTGTCGCGCATACCTGAAACGATTGAGTCGCGATCAGCCCCTTAAAGTGCACTACTTTTTCCCCGTTATAGTCAAGTGTCAGAACGAGAACGAGATTCTGGATGTTTTGAGTGAAGACTTGTCTTCATTTTCCGGTTCATCGTATACACAGCTCATAGAGCTCTTCATGGACTACGTTTGGCCCAAAAATATATTAGATGTGCAAACGTTTCTGGAAAAATGCAAATTATCTGGATTTTCGTATACCATTACATTTAATTCTCTGATTCGACACCACATTAACGTCAATCGCATCGACGAAGCCGTGCGACTCATGTCTTCTCCCAACTATTCTTCAGTCAATTTGGTTAAGAGAGACCTTTTGATAGCACTGACAGACGCTGTATTGCGAGTCAATCCTAATATCAACCAAATTGTTAGAGCGCTTCAAATAATTTACAAGAATCCCAATCGAAGCGCGCGATCACCAGAAGTCGAGACAAACGATCCGTTCGGACAGTTCTTGCTGTCAATCATAAGAAGTCGAAAATATTCGGAAAGTCTTTTGAATGAAATTTTGAAAACTTATCATCAATTGTCTGTCAGAGTGTCTGAAGCCTCACTGCAAGCCATTAGAGATAGAGTTACTTTGAGTGACGAAAACGATGACTTATTGGCTAAACTTAAGTCTTCTGATGACTTGAAAGGCATTATTATTCACAGTTTAGACGACATTACAAGACCCAGAAAAGAGATGACAATTGAAGAACTTGAGGGACATCTCATTGAACTGCGATCTAAAGGCCTGAACACTAGAGGAGTGTTGAGAAGTCTACTCATGGCTTACTG